ATTATAATCTTCTACTTCTTCTTCTATCCCGTGGTTGGGGCAACCGTGGGCTCACCACTGCATCTGAAAACCAGCTCTCGCCATCTATTTTTGTCCTCTGCTTTCCTCAGATTGTCACCCATCGTCTTTCCTGTCCACTCTGTAATGTTGTCCTCCCATCTCCTTCTCTGCCTTCCTCTCTCTCTCTTTCCTTGTACGGTTCCTTGCAGGATTATAATAACATTGTGTAAAACATCCACCTGTCAAAGACATCCAGTTTTCTCCTCAACAATGGGTGGCTGTCTTAGACAAATTTGACTACATGCGACATCAATGGGGAACAGCGGAGCCCGCTAAAACCAAACGCGGTTAATCGGAAAACAGTGGTAAACCGAAAGAATATATCTCCTCATTTTATTTTTACTTCTTTGTCTTTGTAAGAAAACTAGATCGATCAGTAAAAGGAAATGCTCATAATTCTCAACTGAACAGCATTTTGGTCAGGGTCAGAAGTCCTATATGATCAGAATCGTTCAATGGAAAGGGGGGGGGGGGTGTTTAAAAACACCTATATTTAAAAAATCAATTGAAGCCACTCACCGTTCCCTCCCTGTCTATGTGCCTGTTAAGCAATGCTTGACCAGTGGCAGCCTCTAGGCACATGTAAGCTTTGCCGTACATCTTCTCCTCAATTCTGCGCTGAGCGTACATGGTGAAGCCCTGGTCGGGAGCGAATCAAAACAAGAAAAATAACTTTATTATTTTTGGAAATCAAAGCTCAAATTAAAAAAATAATCGAAAAAGAAATATTTTAAAGAAACATCATTGTTTTTCTTTTTTTCAAAATAAGAGAACAAACCAAAGTCAAAGTAAGAACATATTAAGTCTTTTTATAAATCAAAACTTTTTTTAAAAATCATCAAACAAGTAGAATTTTAATGAAATATTGTAGATTAAATTATTTTAACCCTTTCGGTGTTGAGTCGTTTCCATCTAGGTTTGTACATATAAAATAAAATATACATTCAAGAGGGCTATAAACAAAGCCGTCACGTGTTTCCCCTTATCAAGAATAAGCAGCTGCGTGTGTTGCAAACGTCTTCTAGAACGTTTTCTATTAAAAAGCAGTAGAAAAAAAATAATAAACGGTAGAGAACTAGTTAAGGAGAACACAAAAGATTCCATACGTTTAAACTACGGGAAAAAGTTTAAATGAGAGTGAAAAGAGGCACTTTGACACAGTATCAGTCCCAAAGTACGGGGGGGAGACAGAAACAAAGAGGAGGGACAATAAAGAATTAAAACCTTCCTGTGCTGTGACACTCTCCAACCCCTCACTAGAACATGAATGAAAATGCAAAATTGCCGATGATTAGAGGTGTTACAAGGGAGTAACAAAAACAAAAAAAGAAGGAGGGGAGATAAACACGATAGATGTTTGATAGGAAAGAAGGAGCAAACCACACCAGTGCACCCACCAACTGCTCACAGCCAGATAGGTGAAAAGTCTTCTTTTTTTTTTTTTACTCCACAAAACAACACAAGTTCAGAACACCCCATTGGGGATTCGAACCGGTGCCTCCGCTCCATTATCCAGCATGATAGCGACTTTAGTTTTTTTTTAGTTTTAGTAAGGTTTTACGACGCTCGCAACTGCATAAGGTCATATGAGCGCCAAGGGGTGGATGTCAACAGAGAGGTCCAAACGGGAATCAGGCTTACTCTGCTCACCTCTCTAGCTTCAACAGCACAAAGTCTGCTTCGACTATTAAGGCACCCCTTAAATAGCAGTTCACAAGAGAGTGATAAACATACAAAAGAAGAAGAGGGAAAATGACCATAGTAAGGATGAGGAAAGAAAAAACAGCAGTTCCCCCCCTCCCCCATGTTGTTCCAGCACAGTATAAGCTTGCCATTGAAAAATCAGCCCATTAACAATTCCACTGTGCATAAGAACATGTTAATATCCCCCACTTTGCGAATGGCCTAAAGACACTTTAGTCAGTAGCATTGCCCTGGGGGGAGGGGGGAT